ACCAGAGATGTCGTGTCCAGGGGACCAGCATTGCTGCTCTGCTGTCTGAACAGCCCACCAGGATTGTAAATTCAGCCCAAATAAAACATTAGAGGAACAAAGTTTAATGAAAGGAAGACACTTTATTTGTAAATAGGAGTGGGAAGAGGGAAGAAAGAAGACATTTAGCTACCTTGATAAGAATCAGGGTAAGGAGTTCTGGAAAGATGGAGGACCTGTGGGCCCTAGTTCCTGGCTGCTTTTATGGAGGGGGTCAGAGACTCCCCCACCTGAAACTTGACATAACTAGTTTGGCTTCTGGGCACCTCTGCTTAAAGTTATTTCTTTTGGTGGTCTATGTGCAGCTTCTTGAATAAGCTTTCTTTGGATCTCTTTGTTTTGAAGGTGCTATCTATGAGATTTATAGCACAGCCTCACATCCAAGGCCGAGTTATTAGAAAGGATACATGTGCATTTTAGTGTGTTAATATGGTGAAAGAATAACAAAACATATATATATGTACATCTATATATATTCATATATAGATGTGTGTCTAGGTGTATGTCTTATATACTAGTAAACTTTCTATGATATAGCCCCTCCCCACTTTGTCTCCTTTGTGTTTAACTTGAGGTGGGGAAGGCAATTTGGAACCTGGCACCGAAGTGAGTCAGGGTGCTTATCAGCTCTCCCTGCTTGTTTTTCTTAGCTTTCTTTTTTTTTTTTTTTTTTTTCCCCCTTTCTACTCTCCATCTAGTTGAAACCTTCAACAGGAAGCTCATGATTGTGCAGCACGAACTCAGTTCTGTGTATATCAATTTATATTTATGGAGACTAGATGGAGGTTGAAATTTACTCCATTTCTGGTCTTTTTTTTTTTTTTTGTTACTAGGAATTGAACTCAGGGCCTTGTGCTTGCCAGGCAGGCGCTGTACCACTAAGCTACACCCCTGGCCCTTCTTAGCTACTTTCTCAAGCAGGGGTTTAACTCTTTATTTTCCGGAATAAGGCCCTTACCTTTCCCTGCCTGTCCCTCAACCTTCCCTACAATATGTGCATACCCATGTTTACTGCAGCACAATTTATAATAGCTAAACTTTGGAAACAGTCTATATGCCTATCAACAGATGAATGGATGAAGAAAATGTGGTATTGGGCCAGGGATTTAGCTCAGTGGTTCTGCCAGCTGCTTTGCAAGAGCAAGGTCCTGAGTTCGATCCCTGGTACCAAAAAAATGAGGTATTTATGTACAATGGAGTACTACTTTGCCATAATGAATGACAAATTCGAGTCATTTGTAGGTAAACAGATGCATTTTAAGACCATAATTTTAAGTGAAATAAATAAGACACACAAGTTTAAATATCACCTTGTTTCTCTTGTGGGAGAAACCCTAAGGGTAAATAAGGAGCAAAATAGAGGACAGATACTAGGAAGTAGGAAGAACATGTTCAAAAAGGGAAGGGGAATAAGGGAGGGTGAAGGGGGAAGGGAAGGAAGCAAAAAGGATAAAAAGAAAGAATGGAAGGAAAAAAATGGAAACAAAGCTTTTGTAAATGGGGAGCAGAAGTATTTAAAGGAGGGGAAGGAAATGGAAAAACAAAGAAGAATTAAGACATGTTATTATGTACAGGCACAAATTCCCTATGATGAATGTAATCAATATGAAAAATATGTATTAAGAAAAATATAAAGTTAAAATAAAAAACCATGCCCCTCTCCATCATCACACATATACACACACACACTCCCCTAGCAGGCCTCCTGATGATGTTATGGCTTTGCTCTTGGCTATAATATCATGGTCAGCACACTTTTTTTTTTTTAATAGGATCTTGGTTTTTTTTGTTGAGTTTTCAATTCATGACCTATCTTGCTTTAAGATTCATTTAGCTTGTTTGATTTAAAGAACTTAAATCTACAAACCCAAGCTGAACTAGTAAGGCTTCCTTTTTTCAGTGACCAGGGAGGGCATGGTGAGGATGAACACATGACTTTGTTTTGAAATGATGCTCAGGCTCCAGGGTAGTGAGTGGTGGTAATCATTTATCATCAGCAATCTTCATTTTAAGCTAATATTTAATGACTACTTACTATGTGAGAGACACCATACCTGGTGGTTGACAGGTATTATCTTATTTCTTTCTATACCTTTCTATAGTAGATGTGAAAACAGGTTTAAAGATGCCAAAGTGATTGCTCAATGTCCCATGGCTACCAGTAGTAGGGCTGTGGAGGCCAAAGCTCACACTCTTAACCATTATACATATTTTCTCTTTGGATTTAAAAATGAGAGCAGCCTCTATATTTCCTATATCAGCTTTTCGGTGCTTTCAGATATGCATTCACTATGGCCCTACCACCCTGAACATGCCTGATCTCATCAGATACGCATTCATTTTATTTCCATGCTCTGTGTGGTCATTAGCCTCTTCCTAAAGGTTAAACACTATGCCTACTTTGCTCTCAATGTGTGAAGTCCTATATGTATAGCTAAAGTTAAAGTAATCCAAACCTATGATAAAATTAGTAGTTCAGATACTGCTTGTTGGGAGGGTTATGTTTATGTACCATCTTGCTGTACTAACATAACTTCTGAATTTTGTAATGCATCTGGCCTCAGGCTTTTGAGTAAGGAACTGTGGATTTGTAAAGGGCAGCTTTTTTTCTCTGCTAATCTGAAAAACAATCATGAATCTTGCTATTCAAAAATCTCTCTTCAGGGTCAGGCATGGTGGCATATTCCTGTAATCTCAGCACTTGGGAGGCTGAGGCAAAAGGATTGCCAGGAGTCTGAGATCAGTCTGGTTGAGTCCAAGGCCAGCTTGAACAAGGCCAGCTTTGAGACTTTGTCTCAAAACAACAAAAAAACCCAAAACCCAACCCAAAATCTCTCTCCACTCCCAAACAGCCTATCACATTTTGTTACTCCCTAATCAGGTACACTCTGGAAAGGACACAAGCAGCTGCCTTAAATCAAGAACATGAGGTTGTTGGCCGTAAAAACATCACTGCTACCATTACCAGCTCTACTGCCATTATCAATAGAAGCCACTACTGACCAAGTATCATCATGTGTTAGGACCCATGGCCATGTGTTTCACCTATGTTATCTCTGAACTTCACAAGGGCACAAAAATGCAGGTACTATTTATCCTCCTTTTGTAGCTAAAGAAAGTTAAGTTTAGATGACTTGTGAAAGAAATCTGGATTCTAGATCTTCTCAAAGAACCGAGAATAAAGTTCATTTTTATCATTGGTAAGTAGATATCCAGAAGTCATGTTAAAATAACATTCATGGGTCAGGGATTTAGCTCAGTGGTTTCAAGGCCTGCTGCGCAAGCGCAAGGACCTGAGTTTGATCCCCGGTACAAAAAATAAATAAATAAAATAACATTCATAAAATGAAGATCAGTGTCTGATCTATAACTGGCACTGGCACTGTTATGGGTTGTGCTCAGATGTCTCCCCAAAGCTTCATGCAGATGAGATGGGACTTTCTTTTTCAGAGGTAGTTGAATCTGGAATGTGTGACACGCTGGGGTTAAGGGTGTGTGATTACTAAACCACTATATGTGAGCGATTTGTTTGACACCGCCCTAATCCCGGTAGTCTGAATAAAATAAAAGGGACAGAAAGATGCTGTTAACTCTCTTGTTGCCTTTGCAACCTTGTGTGTGCCATGTCGTTTCTCCTCTGTGATGCTTGTTTGCCATCCCAGCCTCAGAGCCGGCCGATTATGGACTGAAACCTCTACAAAGTATAAGCCAAATGAACCTCTTCCCCTCTAACTTTGGGTATCAGGTATTTTGTCTCAGCAATGTGAGAAAAGTAACTAACACAGGCACCTCTGCAGTTACTCAGGACTTGGGAAGACTCATGTGAGCTGTGTTAGAGATTTAAACTGTGTCAATACAAAATCCTTCTTAGCTGTTATGGTGTCATTCTCCACTTTTGATTTCATGATGGCATCAAAAACTTCTGTTAAATGGGGACTTAACATCTATCTATTTCCAATGTAAAACCGTGCATAGCATCCCAGCATCTTAAGGATGTGATCTGTAAATGGTCACTTTTCTTCTCCCATTAGATGGCTTGGTTCCCTTCTCTATGTTATTTTTTGGGAGGGAAGAGTGAGACCATTTGTGATAAATGCATATGCATGATGAGACAAATCCTCTGTGTGAAACTGTTAGAAAACACAGACAGCTGTCACATTAGTGTTTGACTACATGGAAAACAAGCAGTTGTGCATATAACCAACAGCACCTCCTGGATGGTGGTGTCAGATGAGGTAACATAACTGCACACTAAAAGTCAGCCAGAACAGCAATTTTAATGTTTTACTTTGATATAATTTTATACTTATGGAAACACTCTCAAGAGTAATTCAAAGAATACTTCAATAGGCTCTTTACTCAGATTTATCGATTATTATGTTTTACTCCATTTGCTTATGACATATTCTTTTCCCTGAACCACTGGAGAGCACTTTATTGACATCTTATCCCTTTATTCATTAATATTTCACTGATCATTTCCCCAAAACAAGGGTTTTCAGGGCAATGAACTTTTTTAAAGTCAAAATACAAAGTTAACATAAAACCATTAGAACAAATACAAAAAAAATCACCATAAAGAAAACCATTTTGCCTTCATGGATAAGGATAAGAAAACTACTTTGTTGTCATTCCACCTTAGAGAAGAATGTTATGTCTTGTTTTGTTCACTGTGATATTCTTAGGTCTTACCATAGTGCCTAGTACACAGTGGATACTCACAAAGTCCATGTAAACTTCATAATGTGTTGCTAAGATACTATATTACCACATTTCTAAATAAAGCATTTCTAAAATAAAGTAAAAGCAGCCAGGTGTGGTGGCACATGCCTGTAATCCCAGCACTATGGAGGCTGAGGCAGGAGGGTCACTCAAGTTGAAGGCCAGCCTGAACTACACAGTAAGACCCTGTCTCAAAGAACCAAATAAATGAATGAATAAATAAACGAAACCAAAGAAAATGACAGCAAAATATTCAACCATTTCTTTATTATATTTTTTAATTTATATGGTACAAAAAGAGGAAAAAACTTCAGATGCAAAGGAATTTGGAAAATTACTTCTTTCAGATGAGACAGAGCAGATTATAATGTGACTTCCTCGGTCCCTCTCAGGGCCCCCATGGCCCTGCACTCCTCACAGGTATCGATTTCTGATGTACTCTCGGTACATGGAAGTGTCCTCCTTTCCTAGGGGCTGCATGATCCCTTGACTGGCCTGGATGTGGGCCTGGAAGATCTCTGTAGATTTTCTGTCTACTCTGGGGGGCTGAACTTCATAGATGCTGTCTTGTGAAAAAGCTGAGATAGGTGTTCTATGAGAGAAGAAAGAAGAGGGGACCGTATTAGGGAAAGCAAATCGAAGAACCCCAGGGAGTTTGGTCTCAAAAGCACATGACCGTGAGCCAGCCAGTGGCAGGAAAAACCTCTGCAGTTCCCTCTTGGGTGGTTTCTCCTGACTGGGCCTTGGGTTCTTATCAGTAAATCAACATCAGTCCTCATCCTACTTCCCCTGAACTGCTTCCCAGTCATGTGCAGTGAAGTTGGAAATGCTGATTACAAACACTGCACTTGTGAATGACTTAAACACAGCCTTAAACACTTTCAGAGTGAACTGCAGGTGGATTTAAGAGTTGCAACATCGCCTTAGGATAGCTTCCAATCTCTGCTAAGAGTCAGAAAATGCATCAGCTATTCCCTTTGTCTTTTTAATTCTTCTATATACAAAGTCTACTTTAAACAATGAAAAGGTAATAACAAAAAGTGTTTGCTACTAGATTCAGGCTGGAGCTTAAGTCATTCTCATTATTCCCACAATCAGAAAAAGGAATGGGAAGAAATGGATTCACAAAGAAACCATTTTGTTTCATCATGAAGCCAGTCACAGTGAGCCCCTCATAGTCTGAAGGCTGGTTCTCAAAGTGAGGGCCCTGCAACAGCAATATCAGCAAGGCTGGGGGACTTGTCAGAACTATACATGTTCACCTTCCACTCCAGAGCTACCAAGGCAGAGTCTCTGAGGTTGAGGTCTGGCAAAGGTGTTTTAACAAAAAGAGCAAAAGTAAAGACAGGTAATGGGAAGCAGGGAGACAGATCTTTCTCAAAGGAGGGGGGATCAAGAGATGGGGGGAGGGGGAAGAAGGGGAGGAAAAGAGGAATAAAAAAGGAATAAAGATGTGTCATGCACATGGACCAACTCCCCACAAGGAATGCAAACATTATGTACTACACACATGTATTAATAAAACAAAACAAAACAAAGCAAAATAATACAAAAACAAAACAAAACAAAACAAAAAACCAAATCTTCCCAGTTTGATTCCAAGTGACATTCACTGAAGCTTGAGAGCCTCCAGTCTAAGATATCTACAACTACAGGCATAAGTGAGGTATGTAAAATGCTAAATAAGATCTTAGGTGTGGTCAATGCAGTGCTACTGCACATTTTAAAGCATGAACTTTCTTTTTAAATAAAATCATACTACCGATCCTACATTAGGATGGCATGATTTAACAATTACAAAGATATGAGCAGTGATATTGGCTTCATCACACTTCCTAATATGGAGACACTTTCAGTTTCCTTATTGACTCACATAGTCCAGAGTGGGAAAGAAATACAGGTGCATCCAAGACTCACAAGGGGGTTTTGGCTTTGTCTCTGAGGGCACCAGAAAGAGCTGGTAAACTCGGCAATGCTTCCAAAACTGCACAGAACTCTTTTTATTAGCTTTGATGGCATTGCTTCTGAATGAAAAGATCAGTATTTAAACATTAAATAATGCAGAAATTGTGAGACTACTTTCTTTTATTCATTCAAGTAGAAAAACTTGTCTTGTTATGTGGTAGCCAACCTGACTCCATTTGTGCAGTCCAGTGATTCTGGGTGGTCGCCTCCCCCTTCCCCCTTGGGAATCCCCTCAGTTAATGTGCAGTCTGCAACTGTATGTTATCTTTACACCTTCTCATTTGGTAGAGCAATCTGCAACTACGTTATCTTTACAATCATGTAAACTGCACCTGTGTGATATTTTGTTTCAACTCAACTGTGTGAAACTTCCCCTGACCTACACTAACTTAGCAAAGTTCTGCTCCTGTGAAATTCTGCTTGAGCTTCCCCTCTCCCTGAGCCCTCCCCAATTAGAAGAGGCATTTAAAAGAACCCTGCAAGCTGCTTTTCCTTTTCCTCATTGAGAGTTTTTCCAGGCACGAGCCATTCTCAAACCCCGGGTGACTAAATAAAGGACTCAGATTTGGCTCGGAGTGGTGGTGATTCTCTATAATCTCTCACGATTAAGTTAACAGTTATTGCAATTTCATGTATATACATATATATATATATTTTAAAATTAATTTTCTTGGTACATTTCAGGCATATAATATAATGACATTCATCACTGCAAATGTGTACCTTTATGTAATCTATCTTGGTTCTCATTTTTCCCCCTTCCCCTGCCCTCCCTTCAACCCTCCTCTCCTATTTACAAAACTTTGTTTCCATTTTTTCATTTTCTCATATGAATTCCATTCTCTTCTTTCCTTTCCCCTACCCCTCCCACTTCCCCTTCCCCTTTGCCCCTTTTCTTCCAATTTCACATTATCTATTATACCTTTTAGTCCTTATTTGCATGTTCAGTTTCTCACACTAGAGGAACTACTCAGTATTTACACGTGTGTCCTATTTATTTCACTTGAGTATCTCCTCAATGTGCATCCATTGAGCTATAAATATCTCTAATTTCTCATTCTTTATGGCTGAGTAGTACTCCATTTCATAAAAGAAAACACATTTTCTTTATCCAGTTTCCAGCTGAGGGGTAACTGGGCTGTTTGCAAGTCTTAGCTATTAAAAACTGTGCTGCTATGAACATTGGTGCACATATATTGCTGTGGTATGATTCTTAAAATTCTTTTGGGAAGATACCCAGCAGGGGAATAGCTGGGTCAATGGGACATATAATCCTAGTTCTTTTCTTTGTGGTACTGGGGATCTAACTCAGGACCTCGTGCTTGCGAGGCAGGCGGCAGAACCACTGAGCTAAATCCCTGGCCCTCTAATCGTAGTTCTTTGAGGTATCTCCATCCTAATTTCCACAGTGTTTGCACCAGTCTGCACTCCCACAAGCTGTGGAGTGGGGTTCCATTTTCCCTACAGCCCTGGCAGCATTTGTTATTGGTTGATTTCATGATAGCAGCCAATCTTTCTAGGGTGAGGTGGAATCTCAGTGTTGTTTTCATTTGCATCTCTCGAATGACCAGTGATGTTGAACATTTTCTCATATATTTATTTGCTTTTATTTCTTTGTCTGAGAAATGTCTGTTCATTTCAGATGCCGAGTTTGGGACTGGGTCTTTAAATTTGGGAGGTCTGATTTTTTAAGTTCTTTATAGATTCTAGATAGTAGACTTTGTCTGAGAAACATCAGGTGAAAATTTTTCCCACATTGTGGGTTGTCTCTTCACACTGTTGGTGGTTTCTCTTGCTGTGAGGAAGCTTTTTAATTTAAAATGTTGACCGTTTATGCTAGTTCATGTGCAACTGAGGTTTTGTTCATAAAGTCTTTTCCTATGCCAATGTCTTCAAGAGTTCTACCTAACCTCTGTTCCAGCCAGTTCAGCGTTTCTCTTTTAATATTTAGATCTTTAATCCATTTCGATTTCAGTTTAGTGCATGGTGGGAGATATGAGTTTAGTTTTAATCTTTGGCAAGTTGAAATCCAATTTTTCCAGCACCGTTTATTAAAGAGGCTATCTTTCCTTCAGTGAGGGTGTTTGGCTCCTTTGTCAAAGATGAGGTGTCTGAGTGTGTCTGGAGTTGTTTCTGCATCTTCTAATCTGTTCCACTGGTCCTCAGGTCTGTTCCTTTGCCAGTACCATGCTGTTTTAATCACAGTAGCTTTGTAGTATAGTTTCAAGTTAGGGATTGTGATACTCCCTACCTTGCCTTTATTGCCTAGAATTGCTTTTGCTATTCTAGGTCTCTTCTTATTCCAAATGAAAATCTGGATTGTTTTCTCAAGGTCCGTGAAGTATGCTGCTGGGATTTCAATTGGGATTGCATTGAATCTATATAGCAGTTTTGGAAGTATGGCCATTTTCACTATGTTAGTTCTTCCTATCTAGGAGTAAGGGATGTCTTTCCATTTTCTGATATCATCTTCAATCTCTTCAGAGTGCTATAGTTTTCAGAGTAGAGGTCTTTGCTTTCTGTCATTAGGTTAATTCCTAGGTATTTCATTTTTTTGGATGCTATTGTGAAAGGAGTTGTTTGTTCAGTTCCTCTCTCCCTGGGTCTGTTGTTTGTGTAGAGGAAAGCTATTGATTTTTGTGTGTTGACCTTGTATCCAGGTACTTGACTGAATTTGGTTATTAACAAGACTTTTGGTGGAGTTAGGGTCTTCTATATAGAGTGTAATGTCATCTGCAAATAGCGACAATTTAACTTCTTTGCTTCCTATCTTTTTTCCTTAATTTCTTTTTCTTGTGTAATTTCTATGGCTAATGTTTCCAAAACTATATTGAACAAGAGTGGTGATAGTGGACATCCTTGTCTTGTTCTTGATTTTAGTTTGAAGGATTTTAGTTTTTGACCATTTAGTATGATATTGGCTGTTGGTTTTTCATAGATAGCTTTGATTAGATTGAGGTAGAGACCATCTATTCCACTTTTTTGTAGGGTTATTATCATGAATGCATGTTGGATTTTGTCGAACGCTTCTTCTGCATCTATTGAGATGATCATATGGTTTTTGTCCTTGGCTCTATTAATATAGCATATTACATTTATTGATTTGCGTATGTTGAACCATCTGTGCGTCCCTGGGATGAATCTCACTTGGTTAGGGTGTATGATCTTCTTGATGATCTTCTGCATTGTGTTTGCCAGTATCTTATTGACGATTTTTGCCTCTGTGTTCATTAGTGAGATTGGTCTATAGTTCTCTTTTTTAGTTGGGTCTTTCTCTGCTTTGGGGACCAAAGTGATGCTTGGCAATAGTTCTTCTCTAAATGTCTTGTAGAATTCAACAGTGAAGCCATCAGGACCCAGGCTTTTCTTAGTTATGTTTTTAATTATGTTTTCAATTTCACTGATTCATTGGGTTGTTTAGAATTTTTAGGTCTTCATTCAACTTTGGTAATTCATACATATGTTGGAATCTGTCCATTTCTTCTGTGTTTTCCATCTTACTGGCGTATAGGTTCTCAAAGTAGGTATTGATGAGCCTCTGGATTTCTGCTGGGTCTGTTGTAATTTCACCCTTTTCATTCCTAATTACATGGATTTGGGCCTTTTCTTTCCTTTTTAATAAGGTTGGCTAAGGGTTTGTCAATTTTGTTTATTCTTTTGAAGAACCAACTCTTTGCTTCATTGATTTTTTGTATCATTCTCTTAGTCATGGAGCCATATATAATTATTTCCACCTTTCTCTTCTGTCCATAAACAGAAGAAACATTCTTTGCTGTTCCCAAAGGGAAGAGACCTATTCCCTTCCTCCCATTCAAATACCAGCACTATTTTTGGAGATAAATTATTATAATTACAAACTTGTAGGCTCATTTCTTTTATCTACAAAACTTAGGTCCATCTTCAAGGAGAGTATTGTGTTTCCTGTCAAAGAATGCTGCAGTCTTATTTAGGGTAACACTATGGGCTGCTTCACACATGACACTGAACACTGATGACCCTTACCTTAGCCTTAACTGCACTTCCCATGTACACAAGAGAGACACTTTGGGCAGAAATTCATTAGACAACCAGATGTTTTTTAAAAAAATCCTGAGCTGGGCATGGTGGCACGTGCCTGTACTCAGGAGGCTGAGGCAGGAAGATCAATCGGTATGAGTTTGAGGCCAGGCTGGGCTACACTGTGAGTTCAAGGCCAATCTGTACTACAAAGTGAGATTCCAAAAAAAAAAGGAAAAAGAAAATCCTTATTGGTGACCTTTTATACTCTTTCTTAAACGTGGTCACTTGATTGGTTGTATTATGACCATTTCTGATAATAAATTATCTTAGATGCAGAACTAATGTTTTATCTTTTCATAGTTCAATTCCTGCTGAGACATTTTTTGACTTATACATAGTGAATAGCCAATAAATATATGTTGATTTGACAAAATATTTCAGCGGTCAGACTAAAATGATTCTGGAATTTAGTTAATGTCACAATCACTTGTAGTTGGTGACTGAAATACTAGACAATATTTGTATAATTTCAAACAATTTTATATATGTGATACTTTTCCCTATGTTAAAATCTTAGGCTTTTTTTATAATTAGTATTCTGGCATGCATGATACTGCATTTAGCATTTCCAGATGATATGGTAATAGTTCTAGTCACAGAATACATTCCCTTCTCAATTATTCTTTTGTTGCTACCACAAGCTCCAAGTTTTCCTCTCAAAGTCATTTTATTTACATCACCAAATGATTTTTTGTTGGTCATGAATGAGTCACAGAATCAAGAGAACATTAGAGCTGCAGAGGACCTTACAGAAGACCGGGACCTGACAACTCACTGCAGACAACAGTCATTGTTAGGTCATCTCTCTCATTATTTCCTCTATTTTCTGAGAGAAAAACTATAATTAGGGCAAAACTATAATTTTGCTCCTCTAAGACATTCTGGTCCTAATAGAGCAAAACCTCAGAAGGCCTTCATAGTATTATTTTGTCTTTTTGTTGGTTTTGTAATTTCTATGAGGAAATAACAGACCTTTTCACCTAACCTGGTGGTAAAGGCCTTGATATACACTGCCATGAAACGATTCTGTTTCTACCCTGTAATGTCACTTGGTGGCTTTAGCCCCGAGTTTGTGGATGCTTTTCTAACATTGTTTCTGTTAACATCCATCACTTCTCTCATTAGATTGCTTGTTTCTTTCCAAGAAGGCACTCACACATTAAAGTGTAGTCTGGAGTCTATTAATGAAGATCATACAGTCAGAATGTGTTTGTTTCTTCATCGTTAAAAATTAAGCTACTACTGCATATTACCCACATTCTGTGAAGCAGTATATAGAATATAGGCACTTGAGTCCAAATGTAGCTCTTAGATCACACTTGTCCAATGCAATACTCATGAACCACATGTGGGTATATTTGAATTAATTAAAATTAAGTAAATTTAAAAATAGGTCTTCATTTGCCCTTGCCACATGTCAAGTGCTCAACAGCCACATGTGGCCAAGGGCTACTGTACCAGACAGTGTTGACACAGGACATTTCCATCATCATAGAAAGTTCGATTGGTCTTCCCAGTTATGTTTTCCCTCAGAAATTCTGGGCACTTTTGTCTTTCTACGACCATTACCCCAGTACAGCATTATTCAATCTTTTACATTTCTAGACATCTCATGACTTATCTGGTTATCCAGTAGTACAATTCATATGATTCTTTGAATCATGTGTTTGGTGGTTCTTTCCCTTTATTTGCCAGTTTTCCAGATAATGAAATGGTTCTATTATCCTTCTAAGGTGTTAAGATTTTTTAGAAACTTATGACTTTAAGGATCCTTGAATTTCACTGCACTACAATTATTCTTCTTCTTGAAGTTCAAATTGTTCTATCATGTTTTTCCAGTGGGAGCCACTTCAAGTTCACTCCTGAGTCCTCTTGATATGACCCTAATAATGTATGATAGTTTTCTTCCTCCTTGGATTGACAAAAAGTTCCAGGTTTATTTTGTACAACTCCCAACACAGACCTGGAATCAGCCACCTGTCCCATAAACTCTGGTTCCTATTAGTGGAAAACTGGTATTTTAAAAATCACAATGTGGGTGATTCTCATCATTATTAGGCCATTGTATGTGTTTATGTGTATGTACATACATGTGTTTTTCTTTGTTCCAGGTCAAGGAGAATCTTGTTTCTCAAAGACAAAGAAGACAACAGAATTAAAATAACCCTTGACTATTTATTTGCTTCATCCCATTTTAAACATATAACACCTACAGAATAACAATATTATTGCCACCATCAATGATTCCTGAAAACAGACTTTATTTTTGCATATGCTCTCCTTATTGTTTGCCTAATGTTTTCAGAGCTGTATTGTGTTACACACTGTGTGAGCATATAGGCATAGCATATTCTCTACCCTTGTAATACTCATTTAGCTCTACAGGTAACAAACTATACTCTTCATCCTGGACTCCAGGCCAATGGATGTGTTAGTTTTTGTCATTGGAACAAATATCTGAGATAATCAACTTATAGAGCAGAGCATGACAGCCTTGGATCAGCACAGGGAACACTATCCAATCCCACATCACCCCACCCACTGAGCATAGCAAACCCTTCCACTAGGGTCCTTCTTGCCCAGAAATGGTCATGGGTATGCTGGAAACAAGAAAATGGGGAAATGCTAAAAAGTGCTTGGTGTGCTTGCTTTTTGTCCCTTTGTAACAAAGAATCAGGAGCAGGAAGAGGGCAGGTAAGGAAGAAACACAATGGAGGAAAAATTGAGGTGGTCAAGGATAGGGAAAAAAGAAGGTGGTAAAAGCCTGAGCGGTGCTGGGGCATTCTAGGATGTTTGAGATGGTCCTAGAGACTCTGATAGTAACAAGTGGGATGGACTGAGGTTCACTAAGTTCCAACAAGTATCTACTGAGCACTAAATATAGGGTCTGTTCTGGGGACATCAGGAGACACAACAGTGGGCTTCCCTGTAGAAATGAGTACCCTGGCAGGACTACAATAATTCCAAATCTCAACAGCACTGCTCTGGCTAATGACCTCTACACCACAGTACCAAGCCAGTCAAGCAAAGTATGCCTGCCCAGGAAGCTTCAGTCTGTTTTTCTAACCTATGAGGTAGAATTTCCTAAACACTGGTTTAACTTGTAGCAAGTTAATAAAATTTATGGGGACATTTCACTAGAAGAGATCAACCTATCCTTGTCTCAAGGGTCTTGTATTAAACATGCCTCCGGGGTCAGAGCTGCTTCAGCATTCCACCTCCACTTAGTGGAGGGCAAAGTTCATGGAAAGAAGCCTCTACCAACTCTAATCTCATCTCCAGAGGGTATATTTCAAGTACAGTCTAGACTGCCATCTTTCCCCTATTTCTCCAAAAATCTAGTTTTCCTTGAAAAAGGTACCAGGAGAAAATGCTTTGGTACATCTAATAACACTAATTTATTGAATAGACTGGATTAAAAAAAAAAAAGTCTTCAAAAAGCACTAAGAATGGCATTAATGCAAATATTTTCTTAAAGGTCTAACTTAGTACTTACAATTTTATAACTCCAACAGAGCACCTGGAACAGAGCTGCTGGCTGCTCTTGTCTTGTTTATGTTGACTCTGCCCCAGCTGTACAAATCTACAAATTACAATGGGTACAAGTAAGTTAAAGGAGTATCTACAATTAAATCAGGAGCTCACACAAAATGCTGTGCACTTTTAAATGAGACACTGTAATTACTTCACCAAAGCACATAAGAGTACCCTATATAACAAGACTTTGCCTGACTTTATAGTGTTTGACAGAATAAAGGAGATGGATTTTACTCAACATGTAAGTCATTGCTATGAATATAAGAATGAAATCACATGTACACTTTATTGTATTTCTATTCACTTAAATGTGATGCAGATTTTGAAAAAAAAAAAATGGTCCTAATGGCAGGCAGATGACCTTGTTGAGCTTCCTACATCTAAGTGTGATATAATCTAATACATGGGGTGCAGCAAGCACAGGGGAGGTGCTTGAAGTGAAATAAATGCCATGGAAATGGTGGGATCAGGCTTTGAATCCATCTCCTGAAGCAGGGATGCTGCTGAGAACCTGGGACATGGACTCACCCCTCTCCCAGGTACATTCAAGCCCCTCCGAAGGGTGGACTTTCAACCAAGATGCCAAGATGGGAGTACTAGCTGATGACACTATGGCCACATCTCCCCTCTGGACAGCACTGACCCAGGCCTTCAGCTAAGAGCCAAGCTGACTGGCCCCAGCCTCTGGAGCTCTGCCAAAGCCACACACATCTGTCCTTCCTTCAAGGACAGGGGTTTGTGCCTGTGGGAGGTTTCTGAGCAGGATAAAAGGGCAGGTTTCCTTTCTATTTTTCTATTATTTAAAAGATATCTCTTTGATGACTACAGAAAATTTATCATTTATATTTCATAAGCTTTTTAGAAAGCCAAGTGCCTCAGAAGCTACCAATTAAGCAGCCATTACAGTATTACCACAGAACTTTCATCATAGTTTTATATTCAGCAAGAGAAAAATTCTGCTACATTTTTTTGAGCAGAATATTGATGATTTGTATAGACCTTTAAATTTCCCAAATTGGGCTGGGGATTTAGCTCAGTGGTGCTGTGCCTGCCTGGCAAGCAAGCACAGGTGCTGTGTTTGATCCTTGGTACCAAAAAAGAAATTGGTAAATTAAGTGTACAATCAGGGTCACTAAAAAAAATGGTGCAGGTATATGAGGCTTTAAGGAAGTAAGTAGAAAGGTTCAGATCTGGTCAAGCTAGCAAATCAAAGACACTGAAAAGATGAGGAAACAGGAAGTCACTGAGAATAGGGCTTAGCCATTTGAATAAAACCATAGAACATAAAATCATAGAAAGGATCAGGAGTCTGGAGGTGGTTGAGGCCCAATGTACAATAACAGGGAATGGAGGGCCCAGGATTTAGCTCTGTGGTGCCGTGCCTACCTCACAAGCGTAAGGTCCTGAGTTCCATCCCAGTACCAAAAAAAAAGAAAAACAGGGAATGGAACAGAAAGCTGAAAGACAGGCTGTGGAGACCACTCCCTTCCCCAGTGGGAGCTGTGATCTGTAAGCCAGCCAGAGCACTATTTTGTGCACGAACTGCAGTGGGTACCAGCCAAATGCTTATGGAACTGGGGTGGGAGGGGGACCTGCCTGCTCAGGGCAGAACTACATGGGGTCCCTCTGTGACTGCTGGACCACAGGAGGCACTAAGAAAGCTCCAGTGCCCAATTGCAGCAGAAGTGGGTGCCAGGCAGTCCCTGAATGTCCCTTGGCTACCACCTAACTAACACGTAAGTTGAGAGGGGGAGGCCTCCTCTGCCTACAGCAATGCCCATCTCTGAGGAGCAGCCTCTAGGCACTAGGCCCTTTAATCCTAAAATACAAATCAATATTCTAGATTTTGGCCTCTGAAAGGCTACTACCATGTTCCAAGTAGAATTCATTTCCTTTTGTATAAGTGACTATTCTCATTTTAAAAATATGGATATACTATTATAATAATAAATGTTCATATTTTCCCTTTCTCTACATATGAAAGTATCTTACCTTGAATAAACAGAGAAATCTTCTTCTGAAAGGCCATCTGAGAGGTTAATTCCATATACCTCTTTCATGGGCTGGACCATATTCTGAAGTTTAAGAAAAAAGGAACCAGTTAGAATATTTTTAGATATCTACCATATTAATAATTTCCAAAGATGAAGAAAATGAGCCTGAAAATTTTTCCACAATATCAATTAAGTTTCTCAGTTAGTTTTTTTTTTTTCAATCTGACTTTCATTTCCTACTAAAAATAAAAATAGTTTCATTTCCTACTTTAGGGTAAAAAAACCTGTTAAACAATTATAAGTTGCTTTTGTATAATGCAGGAGTTGGAAAAATTTTTCTACAAAAAGGCAGACAGTAATAGTAAGTATTTTAGGCTCTCTGAGTTCTGTCTTGTCTGTTTCAACTACTCATCTCTGCTGGTACAGAAGCAGCCACATACAATATGTAGACAAGAAGGCAGGGTGGGTTCCAATAAAACATTATTTACAAAAACAAGCAGTAGCCTGGGTTTGGCTGATCATAGTTTACCAACTTCTTCAATAATGGATTCAGTTCTTATTGTATTTTTTTTTTTTTTTTTTGTATTGGGGATCAAACACGGGACCTTGTGCTTGCGAGGCAGAAGGTGGAAACACTGAGCTAAATCCCTGGCCCTGGATTCAGTTCTTATATTATCATATTTTATTTGCCTTATCTATCTCTGACTTTCAGCTATTTCTAGAAAGCAAATTACCCTAAAGCTAGATTAGTTTCTTTTGTTTACTTCCATTTGCTTTCCTTGAATGTATTAGCAATATTGAATTGAATAGGATGAATTCCCTATTTGGCCTATTCAGGGATTGTGAGGGCCAAGTACAAACTCTGTACCCAACAGTAAGCAGAACAAAGGAATAAATGGAGCTCAAGTAAGTGAGGTATTCTAAGATATCCAGGATTCTCTTACAAATTCTGAAGTGGTAAGCAATTCACTGGTTACATTAGGGAACAAAAATGCCAATCATATTTCAAAAGGAAACCCTTTTCAATGTCTATGCTAAACATATTCACCTTGGGTGGTGCCTCAGGCACCACACAGGGAGTGAGACAATGTGACATTTTTTTGCTCTCATATGAACTTCCCTTGCCCAGCACCTCGGTCACTTTGGCACTGTCTCCTGTGTCGGTCATCTTCACAGGGGTGGAACGCTGAGACACAGAGCCCTCCTCTTCACGGTCAGTCCCAGAGTCATCATCGGAACTGCTGGACACAGCCTCTTCGCTGGGAGGCGGCGGGGCGCTGGCTGCTGTTTTCCGCTGCAATATGGCTTCTTCTCTATTGGCTTTGTTTCTTTAAAGAGATGAATGTGGATTTGAAGCACCCTTGCATTGAACCTCAACACTCACCAAGCATCACTTTGTCCCAAGCCCAGATTCTAGGGAAGCATAAGAAAATGACTGTGAGAAACTGGTTTCTGGATTCAAGATGTGCTGAAGGGAAAAGCTTAGTATCTTTGTACACATATCCTGATCTTATATTTAAGCCCTGTTTTAAATTTAAAAAGTAAACCAAAATGTACTTGCAGAGTGCAGAAAAGTTTTCTTACTGACTGCTGTTGTCTTCCTTTGGTATCTGAAATCAGTATTTTCACATTTTATGGCACAATAATAGAATTATATGCTTGAGATATTAGTAAAATTACCTATAATGTGTAAAACTTTCAAGAAAAGATCAAGAGGCAGACCCATGCATGTTTCCCTCCCTCCCATGAATTTTTATGGTAGTATATCAAAATAATAATCAACTGATGAACATAAAAGTAAATTTTAAAATTTATTGTATTATTAGTAAACAAGTAAATTTGCTGCATATTTGTCCCAGTAATAGACAGAGATTAGGGTGAAAAATCTCTCCATATTTACAGAAGTATTTACTTTTGTTTTTTGGGTCAAATTTGAGTAAAAATATTATAGCTTTTTAAATTCAGAAAGTATTATACAGTAATACTTTTTGGCTTTTATAAAACTATTTCACCTTTACTTGAAAAAAAATTCTCTTTAAGGGACTAAAATATTCTAATATTCTGAAATGTTGCAGGAAAGGGAAAAGCAGTATTATTGACCATGGGTTAGAGAATGTAGGAAAAGATTAGTTTCTGACCTTTTGCAACCGAAAATTCAGTAAAATTTCTGTACTATACACTAATATAGCTGGTTGTTTACTAATTTGTTCTGGGAAATTGAATTCTAAACTCTTGAGGACTTTCCTCTTTTAAATGCCTCTCAACACCTGCTCAAGGCTTAACATAAAGCTGTTTAAAGGTATAAATTACATATAGTCTTACAATTAAGACTGCATACACATTTCCAAATACAATTAGAGCTGTGTATCTAACATCTAGCCAAGGGCTCTAGTCAGTGACTAGAAGAAATATTATCATCAGGACTAGACAGGTCAGTGGAGGAGAAAGACAGTCTTATGCCGCGGCACAACATGTTTCATTCCAGTCTAGAGGCATGAAAATGCAAACATGGCGTGTCTTTTTAATATTATCAGATATAAAAAATAAGCCTCGCTCAAAATAATGGTATAGTAATATGCAGAAAGTCTACTCAGTTCCCTACGAGAGTATATTTGCATATATCCTCATATTTTACATTCTTCAGGGTGTCAGCAAAAAATAAACACAATGAGTATAAAATTTTACTTAAGTATTTTATAGTAAGAAACAAAGAATATGGTTAGTTATAGGACATAAAACAGTATCTGTTACTTGTCTTTATGTCATTTGTTATATTCTCAATTTAAAATAAAATATACCATATTGCTGAAATTTCCATATATTCTAACTTTCAATACTGAACATTTTAATCACCCAGTGCTATCAACGCACTATCCATATATATGCAATAAATGCTCTATGCCACAAACTGTGACTTGAAGTTGTTAGTTTTCGCTGGAAATAATATTGTAAGTGCTCTTATTTTACATGAATCTTTAATTTCATTCTTTTTGCAAATTTTACCCCAACACTGATTTTCCAGTTTCATCTGGTTTCCTCACAGTGAATGGGCTTGGATCGATGCCAACAGTCTTAGGCATAAAGTCACTAGAAAGAGATGAAAAAGGCAAAATACCACATGAATCAGTGTCCATCAGATTATATTGGCTTCTATCTTAATTTGCACTTGTAAGACCCCTTTATTTATTTATTTATTTTGGTACCAGGGATCAAACTCGGAACCTCGTGCTTGCAAGGCAGGTGGTGGAACGACTGAGCTAAATCCCCGGCCCTTAAGACTCCTTTTTCACTTTCAGGGTTACACATATTCTGAGTCAAATGTTAGGAAAGCTCTATGTGATCTGGGTTGTGAAAACCCATGAGCTCATGGCACTAGGTAACTTCAATGTTATCAGTCCTCACTGTGAATTCACTATGATTGTGGGGCCCAATACTTTTGAATGCAAACAGTGTTGATAATCTGAGCTATGGCTATGATAGTACCATCTTGTTTTATATATATATATATATATATATGTTTTGTTTTGTTTTGTTTTGTTGGTACTGGGGATTGAACTCGGAACCTTGAGCTTGTAAGGCAGGTGACAGCACCACTGAGCTAAATCCCTGGCCTAACCATGTGGTTATATTTTACAATTAGTGCTCAGGTCAAATTAAACTCACGGAAACTATGACAGCACTAGCTGTTCAAATGTATAGACAATTTTTTAAGCTATACTACTGAAGGAGGCAGATATAATGATCAAAACACAGTAGTATGAATTCAAGAGTCAATATCTAATATTATGTACATGTACCCTATGATGAATGTGATCATTATGTATATCTAAAATGTATTGATAAAATTCATTAAAAACAGCACTACAAAAAATCAGTTATCTACTTGACTAGATTAGGTTAATTCATTAAGACACCATTGGAACTCTTCACAGAAGCAGGTTTAATCTGCCACTGACTGAGATAAGCTGAAGCTTCTTCCTCATTACGCCAGGGCTACCTCACCTCCACCCCAGAGGCAGACCAATTCCCAGCTGGTGCCAAGAAGGCAACAGTCCCATGAGCCACACTAGGATGCAGGCTCGTGGAGAAGACACTGCTCCCACCAAGCGCTTGAATGTTACACTCTTTGAAGGAAGAGAAACTAATCTTGAGTCTGCCTCAAGGTAACAGTTTGAGAATGTTTTAATGATGTAGTTGGTTTAATCTTCTTCTTTCTTTATGAACATATACAATTGATTCTCATCATTTGGAGGTTCTGTGTTTGTGAGTTTGCTAGCTTGCTAGAATTTACTTGGAACCCTCAGCTGACATGTGTGGTGCTTCTGAAGTCACTCACAGTCACTGACAGGCAAAGGTGAAGAGTGTGTCACTCAGTGTGTGTGCTTCCAGCTAAGGGTGAGGAAGGTACATGCTGTGCCGTTTTAGCTTTCTTTATATTGTCAACGAGTGGTTTTTTGGCCATCTACTTGATGCTACTTTTTCACATTGTTTTTGTGCTTTTTGTTGGTGACCCCTGCTGTTTAATGTGGTCCCCAAACAGGGCTGAGGCTATCTAGGATTTGTGAGCACAAGCTACAACGTGCTCTCCAGAGAAATTATGTATGTTACATAAGCTTCATTTAGGCATGAGTTATAGTGCTATTGATGGTAAGTGGAATGCTGTTGTGTGTGTGTGTGTGTGTGTGTGTGTGTGTGTGTGTGTAGAGCACTGGGGACTGAACCTAGGGCCTTAACACTTGGCTGTATCTCCACCCAGCCCTCCTCCTTTTCATTTTTTATTTTGAAACAGGATCTCGCTAAATTCTCCACCATTGGCTGGATCTTGCAATCCTTCTACCTCAGCCTCTCACTGTGCTGGGATTACAGGTGTGCATCATCATTCCTAGTTTGTGAGTGTTAATGATTCAATAGTATATATTAGATGAGGTGTCTTAAATATATATGCACAAAATGAATTGACTGGTGATTAAAATATTATGATCAGAGCCTCACAGGAACTTAATCCTCTATTTCCTTCAGGAGAAATTATTCAGTATTCACTAATTCACTGCTCACAATCACTTTATGGAGCATAACTACCATAAACAAAACTAATTATATATCTATATAAACATATACACATAATGTAATTTACCCCTTGCTCAATTTAAAAATTCTAGAACATGAAGCGAAATGTGGATGTCTAGAAAACAAAAATCATAAAATATGTTTATACATTTACCATACAAAGTCTAAGCATACTTATATCACATCTGAACAAAATGTAAAATACAAACAATTAAAGTTTAGTTTAAATATAGTCAAACAGTGATTTGCTTTGACCAATTTTGTTATTCTTGTCCCATCATTTTTCTTAAAAGGTCTCATCAAGTTCTAAAAGAAACAAAGGAAAATGAAGAATGTATAAAAGTGACAGATGAGGATGGAAAGTGTCTGGAAACCATGTCACATGAGTTATGGAGAAAGAATACAGGATATTTACCCTGAAAGAAAAGTATTCTTCTTCAAATATTCACAGGGCTGTCCCACAGAAGAGGAATTAGTCTTGTCCCAAGTCTGATAAGAATACTAATATAATAGCTACCGTTTATTAACCACCTACCTGTTCCAGGTACTACATTAGATGCTTGGGGGTGTTTTTTATGGGTATGAGGACAATAATGCTCAGGGAAGTAAGACAGCATTTTTTTGGTACCGGGGATAGAACTCCAGTCCTTGTGCTTGTGAGGCAGGTGGCAGAACCACTGAGCTAAATCCCTGGCCCAAGACAGCTTTCTTAAGGTCACACAGTTAGGCAGTGGCTGATCTAAGATGCACATCCCAGCCTTTCTAGTACTTAAAACAATGCTTTTCCCACTAATTTACACTAGCTCTCAGCTTCTATATCAAATGAAAGAAAACTGAGTTTACTCCCAGTGGCAAACTAGAACTAATGGGAGGCAGATTTTAACTTCTGAAAGAAGAGAAATGAACTCCAGCTGACTGACAAGAGAAGGAGCTGCCTCATGAAGTAGCAGGCTCTCCATCACAGGAGATGTTCAGACCGACTGAATACCCAGCCTTGAGCACACTTGGAGAATGGCTTTCTGGTGGAGTAAGGCACATGCACATGAACTAGGAAAACTATAGTTCCCAAATGCCTACAGCAGGTGAATGCTCACAACATACCGTGCAGAACTTGTCATAGCCAAGCAAAAAGTATCATCAAAACTGCTCAGTTCATACGGCCGAAAGAATTCATTGTGGATATCAATCTCTTCTTCATATCTGTGAAATTTCTTCACTATCAATTTCTTTAAGTTTGCAGCACAGATAACTAAGGGAGAGACTGCCCGTTACTCAAAGGCTTGTGATTGCATCCTGCAGACATTTCTGTAATACCAATTGTGCTCATAGCACTAGCAATATTATTCTATTGTATATTACATTTGCGGGTATTCCTTTAATAAATTTTTTCCTGCTTCTCTGACGAATTAATAAAATTTAATTTAAATGTGACTAAAAAGTACTTTTATACAGACATTTGTATTTTTCATTGCTGCTTAGATATAGGGGGGAAAAGGGTTAATTTCTCCTTATGACTGAGTCCTTAGTTCCTTCCCCTTTCACTAAAACATGTAGGAATATAATCAGCACTAGTTTAAAATGATGAATTAATATATTATACTAGTTAAATGTTTGGGACATATCTAATAAATGTATGATGCAATATCAAGTATAGGCTTACTAAGATAAAAAAGTATAGCACCATCTTTTCTCTTTAAGGAGCTAAAGGATGATAAAATCCCCTATATATTAAAACAGCAATATAATACTGAATAGCTAATCATTTCTCACTAAAATATGCAAATAAAGTTGATGCTTCCAGTTCATTTAACTGCAAAATATGTGACTATGAAACCTGAAAGAGAACTGGTTACCTACCTTCATCATAAGGCAGTGGTAAATGCTTTATTACCTCTGGTGTCCACCAGTAAGTGTAGCTATGTAAGTAAAAAAACAAAAACAAAAAAGGATAAAAATAAAGTAAATGTTGGTTTCCTGCAATTCATCAGGTAAAAGGAGTTGTATGGTCTAGGTCAAAATGTTGCCTCCTACTTCAGCGTTGATCTTTATTTTTTCTTTTAAAATCATACAGTAGGTCTTCAACATATTAATTCCTTCCCAATCCCCTTGTTTCAATTACATAACAGATTTAAAAAAAATCATGAATATACCTAAGACTTAAGACACTCTGACATTACTCTAGCTAAAAAGGAAAAGGGTTAAAAGCCAACTCTAGGACTTGACTTCTCCCAGGGACTATGCTACCAGGTGAGCTAAGACCTTGACCCACATAGTCATCTGAGTTAGGTTACTGTTCTCCTTTGTGACATGTGTAACATCAGAGTGTGTATAGTTAATTAAAACAGCTCAGCAAAATCATTAAGGAGAAAATCAGATAGTTCTAACAAACAAGCTCCTTTAAAAAATAATATAGGACCTGTTAGTCTCTCACTGTCAATAGTCACCACTGGAGTACACGGGCCAGTAAGACTACAGGTAGGGAATTTCAATTATTTAAAAGAGCAGAGAAAGGAAGTCTGCTGCTTGCAGAGAATCTACTCAGCTATTTAACATTCATTAAGCTCCTGTTGTGCGTGAGACCCTGCTGTGTGTGCTGAAAGTGACAGGAGTGCACCAGGAGCTCAAGAACAGAGTGACTGAGACACAGAAGAGCACTGCAGGCAAAGAGAAGGGTACTGGGTCGCAGGTCTTCTGGTGATGTTCTAGGGAAGCGATGGTGAACCTTTCAGAGATCAATTGATTGCAACCCAAAACCCACTTATTTATCACAAAGTGCCAATACTGCAATTCAACCCAAATACTGAGGATTTAGTTTAGAAAAAACCAATTCTACATTAACATTTTTTTGTTTTAAAAGAGAAACGTAGTAATGTGTGCCATCCACCATAGTTCTAGGCAGTCCATGGGGGAAGCTGGTTGGCTGCTCTTAACTAGACTGACTCCGTTGTTCAGAGAACTGTATGGTCGCTGTGGGTTAATGCTGTAACAACAGTGTGAGGGTTTGTTTGTTTACTTATTTATTTTTACTATTTGCTCTGGGTTATCTCTTCTCTCTCCCTCTCCCTCTCTCTCTCAGTTCTTGCTTCTGTATTGATATTTTAAAATTTTACTTTACTTTGTTCTTTAATATTTTCACCTTTGTCCTGTCTCTTTTAGTCCGTCTTTTTTTTTCTTTTTACTTTCTTCCCTCCCTATTCATTTTCTTGCCTCTCCTCTCCTTATCTCTATCTTTCGTACATATATGAAACAGGGGCTAGTATATATATACTAGAGAATGAGAATTAACCAGTGCTATATCTTCTAAGAAGTAGGGTTTTTTTGGGGGGGGATCGAACTTGGGACCTTGCACTTGAGAGGCAGGTGCCAGAACCACTGAGCTAAATCCCTGGCCCCACCAGTGCTATATCTTAAATAGCATCATTTAACCAGACACCAGGGTAATTCTTTACAAAACTGTGCTTAGAAGACTCAATCAAAACTGACTACAAGTATATTAATAGGGTTTGACAATCTCACAGCCTCCCTCAATCTCTAAATACAATTCCACTCATCTGTATAGTTCCTCCCACCTATGCAAATACTGTTTCAAAGCCCTTTAACACTAGCTCTTTACCCCAGCTGTAAAAATAATTCCAACAAGGTCCACCATCCTGTCTATTTTTCACCTATGACACTTCCCTTCCCTTCCTCTCTTCCCACTGAGATTAACCCCTTCCTTTTCCCTATCCTCTGTTTTTCCCTCTATTCCAGACAAAACACAAATAACAGTAGTACATTATAGTCTGTAAGGGATATTGATAAAAGAGCAAGATTATCAAAACAAGCTTTTGTGGGTTTTTTTTTGGTACTGGGGATCGAACTTGGGTCCTTGCGCTTGCGCAGCAGGCGGCGAAACCACTGAGCTTAATCCCCGGCCCATCAAAACAAGTTTTAATGTTTATGACTGATGTATGGTTGGATTTTTGGTTCTTTCACAATCAGTAGAAATTCTCTCCTTATAACATAGTGACCAGGTCCAACATAATTAAATTGAATAGGCTGAAGTGGTAAATAATACCTATTGACAAATAAAGACAATATTACATCACTGGAAAACAGAATCAAACTTATATATCTTCATACCAGAAATATATTTTGTTTACCCTATTTAATCTTTAGCACAAAAAGAGGAGAAAAATAGGAACATAATAAAACAAGGAAACAAGTACCTTCAAAGACTCTCAACCCTCCCAAAGCAGATCCAAGGGGCACCAATGCAGAGGAAATCAAACACCAAATAGCTGTGCTGCATGAACTAATTAAAGAAGAAGCAGAGAAACTCAGCAAGCTCAAAGATGACATAACCAAAAGACAGTGGAACTAACAAACTGATCAATGTGGTTATGGAAAAACAAAAAATTAGAATAGCTGACTAAATTTATTCAAAACATCAATGACAAATTTATCAAATAAATATAGTCCATGTAAAGGTGCAAAACAGAAATTTCAGAAATAAGGAATTCTACTGATTAAATGAGCAGCAGAAATGACACAGGTGAGGACAGAGTCTTAGACTTCAAAGGCAATGGAGCATACATAGAAATATCTTAAAATGAGAGAGTATGGAAAAGTCATCCAACATCTTATAGATGAAGCTAAGAAGACTAAACTAAGGCTAATTGGAGTTAGAGAAAAATTAGAAGACAGCACACATAGACTTAAAAAATCTGTTTATAGCAGAAAAACAAAAATCAAGCATTGGGAAAGAACTCAATGTATAGGTAAGTGAGGCTTACGGAATGCCAAATAATTACAATGATAAAAGAAGTTCTCCATGATGCATCATAGTAAACAATCTCAAAAGTCCAATACAAGGACGGAATCTTAAAAGCTGTCAGAGAAAAGAAAAAAATCATTTACAAAAGTAAGCACATTGGGATTACAGCAGACTTTTCAACACAAACTTTAAAGGTCAGGAAAGCCTGGACTGAAGAGTTTCAAGCACTAACAGAAAACAACTTTCAACACAGATTAATACATCCTGCAAAACTGTCTTTCAAAACTGATAAAAAATAAGGACATTTCATGACAAAGAACACCTTAAGAAATTAATGAACACCAAACTAGCACCGAAAAAAATACTCAAGAATATCCCTGATAGAGAAAATGAAACCAATAAAGCCAAAAAGTCTGACAGAATGAGTAGATCAAGCAAGGTGAGTGGTTAAACAAAAAGAGAAAAATAAAGGAGTCAACAATGGAATAAGAACACAATGACAGGAATAAGTAAACAGTAATAACTTTTAATGTAAATGGCCTCAACTCCCCAGTTAAAAGACACAGATTGGCAGAGTGGATTAAAAAAATAAAACTAATGGTTTGTTGCAAAGGGGACATATCTAATTAAAAAGAAAGTTGTAGACTAAAAATCAAAAGATGAAAAAAATACTGCATTTTGGGATGGGGATTTGGCTCAGTGGTGCCGTGCCTGCCTTGCAAGCACAAGGTTCTGAGTTCAATCCCTGGTACTGAAAGAAAAAAAAAATTCAATTTTACCAGGACCCCCAAAGAAGAAAGGAAGAGCAATATTATTCTCAAAGTGGACTTCAAGCTAAACTGATAAGAAGAGACAAAAGTTACTACATATTAGTTCAGGGAACAATTCAAGGAGATAACAATTGTAAATACATACATTCCCAATACTGGCGCAATTAATTTCATAAAACAAACACTACTGGACATAAAAGATCAAATAAACACCAGTACAATCAGTAGAGGACCTCAGTACCCCACTTTCACAAATATATCAACTAAACAAAAACTTAACAAGGAAATAGAGCACACGTTTGAACAAATGGACTTAACAGATAACTACAACCTATTATAACAGAACACACATTTTCTAAGCAGAACACAGAACTTTCTCCAAAATAGACCCCATACTAGTCAATAAACCTTGCTTAAATAAATACAAAAACTGAAATCATCCTATGTATACTATAAGATCATAGTGCACTGAAACTAGAAATTAAAAGCAATAGAAACCACAGAAATTTTACACACCTGGACATAGAATAACACACTCTGGAACACTTAATGGGTCAAGAAGAAATCAAGGAAGAAATTAATCAATTCCTAGAATAAAATGGTAATGCCAGAACAACATACAAAAACCTATGGGACACACCGGAAGCAGTCTTAAGAGTTTATTGCTGTGAATGATCATATTAAAAAAACAGACTGAGTTCAAATAAATAACCTAATAATGCACCTCAACCTCTCCTAGAAGGACAGTCCAAACCCAAACCTGACACAAGAAAGAAAATCACAGCAATCAGAATAGAAATCAATGAAATTGAGACCAAAAAAACCACAGAATCAAATCAAAGACCTAGTTCTTTGAAGCAGTGAACAAAAGAGACAAATCCTTAGCCAAACTTACCAAAACAAGGAAAGAAAAGACCCATATAAATACAAGTTACAAATGAAAGAGGCAAATCACAAGGGACACTGCCAAAAATTCTGATGATCATTAGTAACTATTATGAAAAATTGTCTTTCAACAAATTAGAGAAGCTTAAAGAAATGGACAGATTCCTAGACATATATGAATTACCAAAACTGATCCAAGATGTAAAACCCACAAGCATCTAGTAACAGACAGAAAATTGAGGCAATAATAAAAAATCTATCAACAAGAAAAGCTCATGACCTGATGGATTTACTAGTGAATTGTACAAGAATTTCATGGAGGACATAATACTAATGTCCCTGAAACTTTTTAATGAAATTGAATGGAAGGAATACTTCTGAATTCATTCCTGAGTGCTAGCATTATACTGATTCCCAAACCAGGCAACAACTCAACTAAATAAGAAAACTACAGGTCGATTTCTTTAATGAACAGAGACACAAAATCCTCAAGAAGATACTGGCA